GCCTCGGTAAAGGCATGAATAGCTACTTCCTACGAAAGTCGAGAATTAAGTATATTACATAAAGAGCTAGTTACGAAAGCAACCACTCAACCCAAGTTACAGACTTACAAAATTCAGAGGAAATATATACTTAAAGCAAAGAAAATAGGTCAATAGTTAAAGATAAAGCAAAAACAAAAGCAGCCATAAAAATAGAATCTCTAAGAAAAGTTGATGACTCAGTAAGACCGAGAACATCTGTCAGTAGACTAAATAGACCAAACTCGCTCGTTTTATCAACAGTTTGACAGACTCACGGAGCGGGCGCAGCAGGTGCGCACCTAAAACGAGGCTCACAGGAGCACCCCTTTCTTTGCCAAGCCCTTCCTTGTGCCACGCCAGCCACCACACAGTCCTGTCTGAGCGACGCCTGTCACTCCGTTTCTCTGCCTGTCTTCCTGGCTGACCTATCTGGAGGGATTTCATGTAGGAGCTGTAGAAGCAGGCTTCGCTGGCCCACATGGAGCCTTCACGTGGAGCATATTATCTGTCTTTATGGGGGTCAGCGGCGGGGCGTCCGTAATTGTTTACACTGATAATTAAACTACTTTAAACTACTTGCTTATTCCAGAGAGATACAATGCTTGTGGCCCAAGTGTTTCCAGGTTTTAGTTGGGTTGAGTTAGCATGTTGATGTGAAAAACCTTTACTGTCTTTTTCCAGTTAGTGCATTTCTTTTCCCGTTTTTTTTTTTCCTTTTTTAAATGATGAATTCATACTTGGTGGAGTATTTAGTAGATTTTGTTTCTAAATGACTTTAATTTCGACTTGCAGCCATTTCTTGGTTTCCTTGCCCAAATGCAAGGAAATAGTGAAGAAATTGGCTTTGGGTTCTAAAATTACTTCCAAACAATGAGTATCTTTTTTTTTTTTTTAAAGATTTATTTATTTATGCATACAGAACTGGAGTATAGGCCAGAGGTGCAGGGGCAGTGAGAGGATTCACCAGAGACAGAGTGGGGAGCAGAACAGGCCGACTGATGAAGGGAGCAGCAGGGAGACAGGAGAGGTCTGCTGCACCCTGGGGGTCACTCCCTGGCCGGGGATCGACCTCATGCTGAAGCAATTGCTGCCAGCTTTATAGTGTTGCATTTTAATCTGTTGCACCATAGGGAGGGCTCAAAACAACGAGTATCCTTTGAAACGACTTTACTGACTGTAAGTTCTGAAGTGGGCGAGGAGTCTGCTCATTCGCAGAAAGTCCAGTGGGAAGCACCAGGGCACTCGGCGGCTCTGGCAGACGTCCGCCGGAGGGACATCTTCAGACCCCGTGGCCCTGCTGCTGGAGATTACTTTCTTACCTTAGTGAACCAGATGCCTAAGTAAGGTCCAGGTAACCCTCACTCCCAAAGGTGGCGACTGTTGGTAAGCTACAGAATTTCAGGCGCTGCTTCCAAGACTTTTTTTTGTGACTTTATTTTAAAATAGCTCTCACTTTTCTCCTGTTTCTGTCCTAACGCCCTGGGCGAGAGCTGCCGGGTGGCAACTTAGGTGGTTATCCTGGGATTATAATGTTCACCTGGCTATAAATTTTTAATTTGCTTTTCAATGCTTCTGTATGGAGATGCCCATGGTCACAGGAGGTGGGCAGGCAGCCGGCTGGTTTGCCAGCAGAGTGATTCTGAGAGTTCCTTTATTTCTAAACAAGGCCACACGGATAGGAATGGTTTTATAAAATTTTGACTTTATCTTTGGAATTTTTATTATGGAAGATGAGAATTTCAGCTCATTTTTGTGACACCTACACTCCTCTGTATCCTTTCAATAAAATTGTATCTGAAATACTGGGTAAATCTATATTCAAGGCTTCATTATTATGCTTGTGTAACACTGTGAACTACTTAGCCAAGAAGTGCAGTGTGAAGCTAAAATATATTCATTAGACATTATTTTGTGACAATGTTTGGTCTTCTAGATCTACTTATATATATTTTTTATTTTTTTATTTTTTAGATTTATTTATTTATTCATACAGAACTGGGGTACAGGCCAGAGATGCAGAGGGTGAGAGGCTTCACCAGAGACAGAGTGGGGAGCAGAACAAGCAGATGGATGAAGTCCACTGCTGAGGGGAGCAGCCTGTGAGACAGGAGAGGTCTGCCGCGCCCTGTGGGTCACCTCCAGGGCGGGGATCAAACTTGTGCTGAAGCGGCTGCTGCTAGCTTCATCGTGCTGTGCTTTAACCTGTTGTGCCACCAGGAAGGCCGCATTGGGGTTTTTTATGGGAAGAAATGGTGCATATAATACAATTGCTTTGAGGAAATTGCTGTCTCTCAGTTTATTTGGTGCTGCAGTAGAAGTAATCATTGCACATTAGCGGCACTTCTGAGACTCACTTATACTTTAAGGAGTCAACCTTTTATTTCAAGAACTTTTGATTGAACCATCTCCAAAATCTATGACTATTGCCCCCATGATTAAAAAGGAAGGGAATGAATGGACCCTTTTCTGATTTCTCAGAGATATCCCACCTGATAATACCATTTATTGCATGTGGTGCCACTTGGTGACATCCCTGGGGCTGGTGCCTCCTCGTCACCGAATTCTCCAGGTGCTTTCTTTATAAATTCATCACTGATTTTGTAGAGGTGGCTGCTGTTTCTAGTGAGTCAATTTCAGGAAGGGCTTTTCAGTCCCCTGATACCTTTCTATATTTAATTGACTGTGTAGTGTGTTCAGGAAGAACTGAGATTAGCAACAGAAGCAAAATAACCAGAGTGGCCAGACGGGGAATCTTAAATTTAATTCCAAAGCCCAGTCAGCAGACTTCGGCAGACGGGCGTGAGGACAGCTTCTCCAGGCTCCCATGGTTCTGTTGGGGTAAACATCCACCCTCCCATGGTTCTGTTGGGGTAAACATCCACCAGCGGCCCTGGTCTTGTCTGCTTAGCCTGTGACCGGCACTATCCTGCGCTCTGTAGACTGGGTTGCAACCTCCTCGCCTCTGTCCATTGATTGCTAGTAGTGTACCTCCCTCCACATTGGGGTAGCTGAAGCTGACTCCAGAGTCTGCCAGAGACGGCCCTAGGGTGGGGATGAGGCAGGCTGGACCTCCGTGGAGAACTCCAGGCAATGGCTCTCCTCTTTTCTCAGGTGTTGTAACTATATTCTGAGTTTATATGAAATGTGAGAGCAATTAAGTTATATAGAACTTTAAGTCCCTAGAATTTTGTCAAGTGTGAAATAATTCTTAAAACACCAGTACAGCCATGGATTGCCAAGTATTCACTGCTCTACATATACGGATAACTGGCATTTCTTGGGCACTCTTTTTTTTTTAATCCCAATGCCAGGTCCTGTGGTAAGTACGAGCAACACCCTAAGGGAGACGTTGTCATGGCCCCCCTTTAACAGAGGGGGAAACTGAGGCACAGAGCACTTAGGCCAATGGCCCGCATCTACATTGAGTGGAAGAGGCAGACTGGGACTCATGCTCAGGCTGGAGGACGTTGGGCACAGCTCTGAGGTTGGCTTGAAGATGCCCAGGCCAAGACACAAGCTTGCCAGTGGACTTCGTCCGCCTGCCCATTCTAAGCTGTGAGGGGGCGGAACTGCACGTTCCCCCCAGCACTTCTGCTCCCCGCTGCCAGCCCCTGGCCCAGAGCAGCAGCACAGTGAGGTTAACAGTACTGAGTGCGTGGAGCTGCCCACGCTCAGTGCCAAGGGCTGTTGCCGAGAAGAACCTCAGCGCGTCTTACGTTCACGTGGCGGAAGCTGGGTGTGACAGTGCAGGTGGCGGATGTGCTGCTGGTCCCTGCCCTTAAAGGACAGCCGCCTGCAGGTGGGGGGAGGGGCAATTTTGTCCCTGTGGCCTCCAGCCTGGGGACTGAGCTCCTGCTGACCAGTTCTGCTTAGTAGAGTCACCATCATTTTAACAAAATGCGTGGAAGCATGGTTCAGGGCCAGGGAATGCGCTTGCAGATTCAGACTCTCTGGATGCTTCTAGAAGGCAGACCCTCATGCCCCCGAGGTCCCTAGTAGCCTGTGTGCCCGCAGATCCTGAGCTGCTGAGCACTGTTGCTTCTGCCGAGTGTTGATGAAGCGACTAACCCAGAATTTGAGCTGAAAGGGCTTAGGGAAGGGAGGATGAGCAGGCCTATCACTTATATCTTTTGAATATTGTTTTTTTCTGATCTATTTGTGTACTTGTGAAATAACCATGTGAACTGGGATTAATGCAGAAAAGCTCTCAGTAAATTAGGAAGATGTGGTTGGTCTAACTGTCCTCTTTTGCGGGGAAGGCGCAGCCGATAACTCTCTCTTTAGTGATATAATAGGGGAAATTCTAGAATTCTGAATCTGACCCTGTCGATTCAGACCAGAGACTTTTGGTAGCAAGAGTAGCTGAAACTCAACACAGCAAATGACGTAAATGCCGATAAATACCGGTCCGTTACTCTTCCATAGCCAATCCTGTACCACCGTGCCTGGGGTCTGTCTGGGGGTCTGTCTGGGGGTCCGCCTGGGGTCTGTCGTCTGCGTCTCCCCGACAGCGAAGTCAGCCGTGCTGTCCTTAAATGCTCCAGAGAAGTTTGCTCCTCTTCCTGAAACAGCATACACCCCACTGCGTTCTAATTCTTCTATTTTCATGTTGGCTTCTTTTTTTTCTGCTTGGGTGGTGACGTTCCAGGAGGGAACGATTCACCTCTGTGCCCGCAGCACCTGGCGTGTGTAGGCTGGCATGTAGGGGGTGGTCTTTGTCTGCTGGGAGAATGAGTAATAGGAAAACTCATTAAATTTTGTTTCACACTGGGCAAGAAGAAGATAGAGCACACTGAATACTCCCAACTCGTGAATAATAACAGCTCCTCTAGGATCTGGAAGAAACAGTTCAGGGCACAGCCAATGTTTCTTTTCCCTCTTCATTGTTCCCTGTCCTTTCCTTTCTGTTGTGTTATGAAAGCGTGTCTTCCTTGTCTCCACCGAGCCTTTCTGAGGAATACCCCTCTTTTTCTTTCCAGGCGGGTATTAATGAAAACGATTTTTATGATGGTGCGTGGTGCGCGGGGCGGAACGACCTCCATCAGTGGATCGAAGTGGATGCCCGACGTCTCACCAAGTTCACGGGCGTCATCACGCAAGGAAGGAACTCGCTCTGGCTGTAAGTGTGGCCGGGCCTGTGCTTTGCTGGACTCCATGTTTGGGGCCTTAGGTTCAAGGGGTCAGAGACAGGCTCGCTGCCGAGAGCTCGCTGCCGAGAACTCCCTGGTGACCGGCAGGGGAAGGAACGCGACCTGGAGGCTGGTGGTGCCGGCAGGAGGCCAGGCCGCTGTGGGCCAGAGCCCCTCGCGAGGGTGTGTCTGCTGGGGCCGACCTCCCCAGAGAGAGGGCGCCCCCTGCAGGCTAAGCAGGGCACAGACAGTGCTGATGCAACGGGTGCTGCCATCTTGGGTTTGCTGGAAGTTACTGATGCCCTGACTGGGGCAGCAGATGGAGCCCCGGGGAGGAGCCCTGGACAAGCAGTGGGCGCCAGGTAACAGGCCCCGCTGTGGGCAGTGGGCAGAAGGAAGGACTGAGGCTCAGGCCAGTTCACCAGTAGCGGACTAAGTAACGAAGGGAAGAGGAGAAGTGAGGGCGAGGTCTGAGACGCAAGTCCCTTTCTCAAAATGGGCTTGGAGCAGGGCTGGGTGGGCAGCGGATGGGCTGGTGGTAGCCCCCAGCGCCTCGCCCCGTGGCAGATACGTACAGGGGAATATCACTCAGCCTTTAAAAGGAGGGAGCTCTGACACCTGCTCATGGCCGTGAGCC